TGTGTGTGTGTGTGTGTGTGTGTGTGTGTGTGGCATCTTAGCAAACAGATCAACAAGAAGAAAAACATAAACGTTTTTCAGTCGCAGTTTCTCTCTTCCGGCCTTTTTTCCTTTCCTCTGTGTACAGGTGGACGTGGTCGTGAAAAGACTCAAGACGTTGTCTGATCTGCATGCACACATACTGATGGGCGACCTCGATGGTCAAGGTCGTGTGGGGTCGGCCATGACAGCGTACATCTTTGCCAACAACCCACATCTGACATACGAAGAGGCGTGCGAGTTTGTGAAGAGTCAGAAGATGATTTACTGTCACCGAGGGCTCAAGAGCACTCTACATGATATGTACCCACGGGACTGAGAGAGAGAGAGAGAGAGAGAGAGAGAGAGAGAGAGAGAGAGAGAGAGAAGGAAGGAATAGTTAATTCCAAAGACTGAGCTGAATCTCATCTTCCGCGTTTGTGACATTCAGTCCGCTCAAATGCTAGACGTGCACACCGACAGTAATCACAAGTCTTACCCATTACGTCATCACCCATGACCTGTTTAATCCTTCCTTGCTCGACAAGAAGATGATGGGCAACGAGAACATTAACTGTCTTCTGCGACCTCAATGAGATAAACCATAGCAAGCAAGTCGAAGTCGTTTATGATTATTGTTTTCTTTGTTATTAGAAAAAAAATTATTTGCGTGAATTGCTTTGTATCTTTTCTTTGTCATTTTCTTTTTACGCGAATCGCATTTTGTCTCTTCTTTGTCCTTTTCTTTTTACGCGAATCGCATTTTGTCTCTTCTTTGTCATTTTCTTTTTACGCGAATCGCATTTTGTCTCTTCTTTGTCATTTTCTTTTTACGCGAATCGCGTTTATTATCTTCGTTACCGCTGACTAGCTAACGTACAACAGAGTAATAAAAACAATATTAAAATAATGAAGACAAAGAAGAAGAAAAGTAGAGAGAAGATAATCGGCGGTGAATAACCTTTAACTTAAGAGTGGTCTGGGAGAAAAACTTGTTGAGTTGATGTTTTATTCCAGCTCAAAGGGGTGGGGGGTTTGGTGGGTGTAAGAGTGGGTTGCGGGGAGGTATGGTGGGGTGGGGGTGGGTTT